ACTCAAAAAAATTCTAAAAAATCTAAAAAAATAAAAACTTGAAAATCTAGCTGAAACTTGGCAGATTTTTTATAATTTTTGCACAAACTCTGAAATGTGGATTTATAAATCGATAAAAATGTTGATGACTTAATCAGCTGATCACAAGTGTATGTATAAAATGATTTTTATATTAATGATCTCAAACCAGTTTACAATAGTGGTATTCACCATCTGCTGTTTTGCCAGAGTGCCAGGCCACTTGCTCACTTTGGTGAATACCACTAATGAATTTTAAATGTGCTCTGTCGAAATGAAATTTTAATATACCTTACGTACATCTGTACGTTTGTATACAATAAAAGTTTAATAAGAATAATTCTGTGTGCATACATGGAAAAGACGTTTTTGGGTGAGAAATGACGTCTTTTCAGACCAAGAGGGACGTTTTCTGATGCCGAAAACATGGCAACGCTTTTGCAATTCATGTCGTTCAGAAGCTCGCTTTTCTTCGTTCTGACAGAAGCCCTTTCGCAATTACCGCACACTTGGCGTTGTCGTTAGCAGCGTTCGACTGAGCAATGGCCATCCTGCGAGTTTTTTTGTTCTTCCGGATAAGTGCGTGCATTGGATGCGATTGTATCTCGTTCTGTTGTTTATCACTAGTTTGAAGATTAGCGCTGTGTGCCTCAGAGGGATTCACACTGCTTATATTTTGCGTCTCAGGAGAAGAATTACTGTACTTGTACTTGGAATTCAACCAGCGTTGCCACTAACAATTTTTTCCCCTTACCAATTTTCTTCCCAAATCCGACCAAAATCGTTTACAACCTACCAAATAAATTTCAATTACAAAAAAGCATTCTGAAAGCATACAATTCATCTATTTAAGATTAAAAGTTCCGAATACAAAACATTTACATACATACATATATGTACTTTGTACATTTTAAAACAAACAAGAAATAAATAAATGCAGACACAGTCTTAGGCACAGAGATGAGATCATTGAAAATTATTTGGTTCTATGCATTATATACATATGTACATGTTATGTACCAATAAGTTAATTGTTTTTTAAAGTAAATTTAAATCAATTAATTGCACATGCAAATCTTTAGCACCTGACCACACATCAAGCTCACTTAGCCTCTGTAAATTCCATTGCGTGGTTATTATATCAGGATCGCAATCTATGAGATGAGGAAACTTTAACAAAAGAGGTAAAATTGGTAAATCTTCGTTAGAAACTACTTCAGCTGGTGCTATTATTTGTAAAAGTTTTATATCTTCACGCTGGGAATCAAAACTTAAATTTATTAGGTCCAACAACTCTGTGTAAAACTTTAATATATTGGTTTTAACTTCAAGGATTCCAGAACAATTGACATCACTTTTCATAAACATCTCAGCATTTTTCTAACAAAAATATCAGTTTTTTCAATACGATTATATTCATTTTTAAAATCAACACTAATATGTTACTGATCGCACCTTTTTTAATCAAGTTACTCAAAATTAAGAGATAATGTACTTTGATAGTTGCATATAAGTATGGCAAACGAGAGCTTTCAGCTTGGAACTCTTTGTTAAGGTTGTTAATTATGGGAAAAATTTAAGATAGAAATAAAAAATAGCATTTGGTTTTGCAACACATTCCTTCTGCCAGGTCTGCAGATTGCATACAGTTTACTTCGTTAAAGCGGGAAATAAAATAAAGTTTCAAACTATCCCATTGCTCCATTCCCGCCCATCCGGCTAAATTTTTGCGCCGAGTCACGAAAGGCAGGAGTTTATTAAGTTCTTCTTTTCTTCTTTTTTGGCGCTGTAACCGCCTAAGAGATTTTGGCCGAGTTCAGCAAAGCACGCCAGTCGTTTCTCCTCTGTGCCAACTGACGCCAATTGGAAACGCCAAGTGAAGCCAAGTCCTTCTCCACCTGATCTTTCCATCACAGTGGGGGTCTCCCTCTTCCTCTGCTACCACCAGCGGGTTCCGAGTTGAATACTTTCAGAGCTGGAGCGTCGGTGTCCATTCGAACGACATGACCAAGCCAGCGGAGCCGCTGTATTTTAATTCGCTGCACTATGTCCATATCGTTGTAAAGCTCATACAGCTCATCGTTCCATCGTCTGCGGTACTCGCCGTCGCCAACGCGTAAAGGACCGTAAATCTTCCGCAAAATCTTTCTCTCAAACACCCCAAGAGCCGCCTCATCGGATGTTGTCATTGTCGATGCTTCTGCGCCATATACCAGTACGGGCATGATGAGTGACTTATAGAGCGTGGTTTTCGTACGTCGAGAGAGGACTTTACTCCTGAATTGCCTACTCAGCCCAAAGTAGCACTTGTTGGCAAGAGTGATTCTACGTTGGATTTCAATGCTGACATTATTATCGGTGTTAATGCTGGTTCCCAAGTAAACGAAATTCTCTACTTTCTCGAAATTGTAACTGTCAACAGTGACGTGGGTGCCAAGGCGCGAATGTGCTGACTGTTTGTTTGATGACAGGAGATACTTCGTCTTGTCCTCGTTTACCACCAGACCCATGCGCTTTGCTTCCCTATCCAACTTGGAAAAGGCAGAACAGACTTCGCGGTTTTTGTTACCGATGATGTCGATGTCATCGGCATAAGCCAGCAATTGCACGCTCTTGTAGTAAATTGTTCCTGAGCGGTTCAGTTCTGCAGCTCTTATTATCTTCTCCAATATCAGATTAAAGAAGTCACATGAAAGGGAGTCGCCCTGTCTGAAACCCCGTTTTGTGGCGAACGGCTCGGAGAGGTCTTTTCCTATTCTGACGGAGCTGGTGGTATTGCTCAACGTCATTTTACACAGCCGTATGAGTTTTGAGGGGATGCCAAATTCAGACATAGTGGCGTATAGGCAACTCCTTTTAGTGCTGTCAAAAGCGGCTTTAAAGTCGACAAATAGGTGGTGAGTGTCGATCCTTTTCTCGCGGGTCTTTTCCAAGATTTGGCGTATTGTGAATACCTGGTCTAAGGTGGATTTTCCAGGTCTAAAGCCACACTGATAAGGCCCAATCAGTTCATTGACGGTGGGCTTAAGTCTTTCACACAGTACGCTCGATAAGACCTTGTAACCTATGCCTAGAAGGCTGATCCCGCGGTAGTTGGCGCGAATGGCGGGGTCACCTTTCTTGTGGATTGGGCACAGCATACTTAAATTCCAGTCGTCGGGCATGCGTTCATCTGACCATATTCTGCACAAGAGTTGATGCATGCACCTTATCAACTCCTCGCCGCCGTACTTGAATAGCTCAGCTGGCAGGCTGTCAGCTCCAGCGGCTTTGTTGTTTTTCAGCAGCGTTATTGCTATACGTACCTCGTCATAGTCAGGCGGTGGAACGTCGACTCCGTCATCATCGACTGCGGGTTCGGGTTCTTCTTCTCCACAACTTTCCGTGCTGCTACCATTTAGTAGGGCGGAAAAGTGTTCCCTCCATAATTTAAGTACGCTCTGGACATCAGTTACTAGGTCGCCATTATTGTTCTTACAGGAGTGCGCCCCGGTCTTTAAACCTTCCGTAAGTCGCCTAACTCTCTGGTAAAATTTTCGGGCATTCCTCCTGTCGGCCAGCATTTCAAGCTCTTCGCACTCACGTATTTCTGCCTCTCTCTTCTTGTTGCGGCAAATACGTCTCGCTTCCCTCTTCAGATCCCTATAGCGGTCCCACATAGCGCGCGTTGCGCCCGATCGCAGCGTGGCCCTGTAGGCGGCATCTTTTTTCTCTGCAGCTTCCTGACACTCCTCATCGTACCAGTTGTTCTTTCGGGCTCGCTGAAATCCGACTACTTCTTCGGCGGCGGTACTTAATGAGCGGGAAATGTGGTTCCACTGCTCGCATATGTCGGTTTGTTGAAGAGTGCTCTCTGAGAGCAGGTGTGAGAGTCGAGTAGCGAAAGCGCTGGCTGTCTGTTGTGATTGCAGCTTTTCGACGTTAAGCTTTCCTTGCATATTTGGGCGCAAATTTTTTGCTGCACAGAGGCGGGTGCGTATCTTGGCTGCAACAAGATAGTGGTCCGAGTCGATGTTTGGGCCTCGGAGTGTGCGTACGTCTAAAACACTGGAAGCGTGCCTTCCGTCTATCACAACATGATCGATTTGGTTTCTCGTTTTTCGATCCGGAGACAGCCAGGTAGCTTGATGGATCTTTTTATGCTTGAACCTAGTACTGCATACTACCATGTTTCGGGCCCCGGCGAAGTCGATCAGCCTCAATCCGTTGTCGGACGTTTCGTCGTGGAGGCTGAATTTTCCGACGGTGGTTCCAAAGATCCCTTCTTTGCCCACCCTGGCATTGAAGTCGCCAAGCACGATTTTGATATCATGACGGGGGCAGCGCTCGTACGTGCGCTCCAAGCGCTCATAGAAGAGATCCTTGGATGCCTCATCCTTCTCTTCCGTCGGGGCATGGGCGCAGATGAGCGAGATGTTGAAGAATCTCGCTTTGATGCGGATTGTGGCTAGACGCTCGTCCACCGGGGTGAACGACAGTACTCGGCGACGGAGTCTCTCTCCCACCACAAATCCAACTCCGAATTTGCGCTCCTTTACATGGCAGCTGTAGTAGGTGTCGCAAGGCCCCAGACATTGTTTGCCTTGCCCCGTCCAACGCATTTCTTGGATGGCGGTGATTTCAGCTTTTGTCCTTACGAGGGCATCAACCAGCCGGGCAGAGGCACCTTCCCCATTAAGGGTACGGACATTCCAGGTGCATGCCCTCAAATCGTAGTCCTTTAAACATTTGCCGTGGTTGTCATCATAAGGGGGGGTCTCATCCGAGGCTTTGCCTTGCTTCTTCACAGCAGACACCCGCTTGCAGCCGCACCTACTGGTGAACAGACGCTGCA